ATATATATATATATATATATAATGGCTTGAGTCTTTTTAATTTTCCGCTTTTATTATACTTTTTAAACCGTTCAGTTTAAAAACTCAAAATGTTATCACTTCTTAAACCTTCTTCTAACGATTCAAACTTTCCCCTTTTCCAATAATTGATTATTAATTAGGTATTTATGATTTTGCTTAGTAATTATGTGACACCCAAAATCATTCTTCTTTAAATTTTAACTTTCTTTCTCCTCATTAAAGCTCAAAGTCTCTAAATACATTTATTAATAAATATTATTATTATATTATAACAAATAATTTATTATTTATAAACAACATTTAAACGAAATAAAATGTAAGAGAATTTAACGTTACCTTTTTTTTTCTATCCAGAAGACTCTAAATACTTTTCCTCACCTTTTCTTCTCTAATGTTTATATGACTTTGATTGAAATTCAAGAAGTACACATATTTTATGATTATTCTTTATCGTCTACGTTAAATAAATTTTATATATTAGAACCTATTTTATTTAGAGTATGAACATAAACCAATTGAAGAGTTTAGAAACTTTAGCAACATTGCCAAGCCAATACTTAATTATTTTACACTAATGCAAGTAACAATACGACGTTCTGCTAAATTGTCTAAATTGTTCATGATGATAACAAAATACTATTTGTGATGTAATCAACTTATATATGCTTATGGATAAATTATCTATTTTATCTCAACTAAATTCAAATAAATATCAATTAAATTCAATTAAAACCGCGCGAATTCAGTAGTTGAATTATTGATGTATTATTCATAAATTTTACTTATGAATTATTGAATAACACTCGCCATGGTAATATTCTTTTTAAGCATTTAATGCATCGATCGAAATGGATCTGTTGATTTTTAGTACTGTATAATTTATATTGACTTCCCTTGGAGCTCGTCACAGTCAACCAACATTTGTTCTACTTCTCTGAATTAAATTGACTGCTGAAGAAGAAACTTATGCAATGGCTCTAGAAAGAAAAAGACAAAAGCAATGGATTTCACAGGAAAAGGGGTTATCCAGGGAGAATAAAAGGAAAAACTACAGGCTCTGTTGATTTTTGATGTATTAAAATGTTTATGATCTTGTATTAATTCTGCGGAAGCCCTTCTTTTTCCCATTTTTTTGCAAACCTTTTGACTTATGTAAATTTAGGTAGAAATATATCATCAAAATGCAAAAAAAAAAAAATATTTCAGACGACTGTTGTAAAATTCGAAAGTCACTTTCTCCATTTAGCAGAATCAGTATGTTACAGCTGCTTTGAGCTCTGACTTCTTCCTTCAATCGTTTCTCTATATAAGCTGTTCAGAAGAATAAGAAGGGAATCTTTCATCAAAGAAAATCATTACTCTCAAGAAGTGTTTGGCTGACATACTTGTTTTACAGGAATTGTACGTGAAAATAGCATGTGCCAACCAGTTTTCGGATCGAAAAATATCCGGTATTTGCAAAGTCGTTGAAATATAGCCACTATTTTATGCGGAGGTAAAATCTGGACAAAGTACCATAGCTTAAACACGAAAAGTTTTAGCATAAGATGTTGGTTATGGAGTTACTGCGTATGAATTTATTATGTTGGAACTCCAACACATTATGAAATTCTAATACATTATATTGGAATCTCATATGTAAAAAATTCGAACTTCAACATATTGTGTTGGAATTGTTTCGGATTTTTAAGGGTATTTTTGTTCAAATTTTTATCTTTACATAAAAAAAATTGCTAAATTTCGAGTACTTTTAAAACTGTGCCTATTTTTCAATTACCAATTGTAAATCAAGTTATTTCTGATTTTTTGCAATTAAATAATCCTTGCTCACTTTTTCTTTTTATCACCATGTGTTAATTTAACTCACAAAGTAATATTTCAAATATTGTCATATTGTACTAAGTTTGATTTTGATTTCAAGAGAAACTTTAGAAGAGATAAAGATAAACTTATAATTCCAATAAAAGGAAGGTGAATAGCTGATGTAACCCTTGGTAATTACTAAAATATCGTTTTAATAATAATCATATACTCCCTCTATTTCAATTTATATAAATCTATTTGACTGAGCACCGAGTTTAAGAAAAAATAGAATTTTTTTGAACTTGTGGTGTAAAATGAGGCACATTTATTTTGTGTGGTTATAAATCATTGCATAAAGATAAATTATTTTTAAATATGGTAATGAGTCATTCTTTTTGGCACAGACTAAAAAGGAAATAGATTCATATAAATTGAAAACTAATTAATCTCTCCGTTCACTTTTACTTGTCCAGTATTCTAAAAATAGATTTCACTTTTACTTGTCACTTTGGTATATCAAGAGAAGACAACTTTCTAATAAAAATATATTCTTTTTTTGAATTTCATAAAAAATAAATATATAAAGCTTTTTAATTATAATTTAATTAATAGCCTGTTTGGTCAAGCCGAAAAATCAACTTATTTTTGAGAAGTGCTTTTGAAAAAGTACTTTTGGGGATAAGCTGTTTGTATTTGGCTAATCACTCTGAAAAGCACTTTTGAGCAATAATTTGTGTTGGGCCAAGCTTTTTAGAAAGTGCTTTTAAGTATCAAATTACGAATAAGGACATGAATAGATTTACTTAATAATTAATATTATAAGTAAATAAATAATCTCAAAAATTTGTTATTACAGGCAATAATTAAATCTTTTCATTTTATTTAAGTAAAATATGAAAATAAAATTTAAAAGTACTTAATTCTTTTAATATAAGTTAAATATATTAAATATCATTCAACAAATATAAAAATATTCACCCCTAAAGTCATTATATATTAGAAAGCTATCCTAAAAATAATAAAAAATATTTATACATTAATATCCTAAGTATTAGATTTAATGGTTATTTTGGTATATACTATATTTTGTTAAGGGTATTATTGGTAGAAGAAAAGTCAAAACTGCTTCTGCTTCTGCTTTTAAGAAGAAACTACTTTTTTCTGCTTCTGCTTCTTCCCAAAAGCACTTTTTTCCCTCAAGAAAGCTTGGTCAAACACTTCAAGTTAGAAAAAAAGAAGTAATTTTGGGGAAAAAAGCACTTTTGGCCTCCCAAACAGGCTATTAATCAAATTTGAGTCATATTATAGGGGTGTTTAGTGTAATTAACCATTAAATTATTTAGAAGCATAAATCGATATATTGAATACAATTTTGTAAAGCTTATTTCTTGAACTACCAAATACAGTCGCTAATACAAATTCCTCCCCCTCCACTATCAGAGTCCTTAGCCGCCGCCGCCGATGTATTCCGCCATTTTTGACGACGAATGAAGTAATGCCGGCTCGTTTGATTTTTGGCGAAGATAACTTACATTCAACCTGCAATTCCTTCACAGCTTCGTGGTACTATTACAGTTACTCAACCTTGTTAACAACTGTTACAATAGGTAATACCCAAAAGACTCTTCTTTTGCTTTAAGTCCTGGTACTGGTACTGCTACTAATGACACTATATTACATACATTCAGGAATATATCGTAGTAGTTCAAAGTAATTCAGCTGGTTAGCGAGCAAATCAAATGGACTCAACAATAGACCCACGGTGTTCACATGCACGCGCCATCACAACAGGCGCGGCGAAAGCCAACCATGCAGTCCTCAACAACCTCATCACTCTCTACTCCAAATCCAATCTCCCTTCACACGCCGTCCGTGTTTTCCAGTCAATCCCATCACCCAATGTCGTTTCATTTACAGCGCTTCTCACATCCGCATTCTCCAACTCCCCGCTCTCCGCCTTTCGTCATTTTATTTCCATGATCCGCCGTCAAATCCTCCCCAATGGCCATACTTTAACCTCCCTTCTCAAAACTTGCGCCTCTCTTCCTGCTCTCACCTTCGGGCTACAACTCCATTCCCTTGCTATCAAATTGGGTTTCTCTTCAGAGCCGTTTACGGCTTCAGCTCTTGTGTCGTAGTACTTTAAAACTGGGTTGTCAGTTAATGCGAAAAGGGTGTTCGATGAAATGTCTGTCAGATGAGGTTTGTTTCTCGTCCGTTATTGTTGGGCTTGCTCGGAACTCTAAGCCTATGGATGCTTTGTCGTGTTTTGTTGAAATGAGGAGAAGTGGTGTGGCATCTACTATGGTTAGTGTTTCTGGTGCTCTGCGGGCAGCATCTGATGTGGCTATGCTTGAGCAATGTAGGATTATTTAACTGGACTTAATTTGAATGTTATTGTAGGCAGTGCATTGATTGATGGGTATGGGAAATGTGGGCTTTTGGGGAACGCTCGTGGAGTGTTTGATGAGCTAGAAATGGAACTCAATATTGTCGGGTGGAACGCAGTGATGGCAGGGCATGCTCAACAAGGTGAACATGGCAATGTCATAGAACTTTTCACTTTGATGGAAGAACGAGGAATGGTGCCGGATGAGTACAGTTTCTTAGCTATCTTAACAGCATTTTACAATGCAGGTTTAGTTGAAGAGACTGAGATATGGTTCAGGAGGATGACGGAAGAGTATAGCTTGGAGCCATGTCTTGAGCACTATACGTGTTTGGTAGGTGCATTGGGGAAAGCAAGGCGTCTGGAGGAGGCAGAGCGGATTGCTTTATCAATGCCTTTTAAGCCGGATGCAGCTTTATGGCGAGTATTATTGTCTAAATGTGCCTATCACGTGAATATGGATATTGCGTGGAGGATGAGTGATAGGTTGTTGCACATTAACCCAATGGATGATTCGGCTTATGTGATTTTGGCAAATGCATATGCGAGTGCAGGGAGGTGGGATGAGGTGAGGGAGGTGTGGAAGAGAATGAAGGATAAGAAAGTGAGGAAGGAAGGTGGGAAGAGTTGGATTGAAACACAGGGAGAGGTTCATGTGTTTTTAGCGGGTGATAGGAGACACGAGAGGGCTGATGAGATTTATGCTAAGTTAGCAGACTTAATGGAAGAGATTGAGAAATTGGGTTATGTGCCCGTATGGGCTGAAATGTTGCATGAAGTAGAAGAGAAGGAAAAGAAGAAAGCACTTTGGTATCACAGTGAGAAGTTGGCATTGGCATTTGGGCTGTTGAATGGGACAGCACCACCTGGGAAAGCTTTGCGGATTGTGAAGAATTTGAGAATTTGCAGGGATTGTCACGAGGCATTTAAGTATATTAGTAGACTTATTGAGAGAGAGATTATAGTGCGGGATGTTAACAGATACCACAGGTTCTTGAATGGAAGCTGCAATTGTGGAGATCAATGGTAAGTTATTGAGAAGAAATGCAACAGCCAGAATGCACTTAGTACTCTCAATTCAAGGGCGGCTTTAGGGTAAGGCAAGTGAAGCCCTTGCCTTAGGCCCCCAAATAATTAAGGCCCCAAAAATAAAAACTGCTATTATATTATTATATACTAGATTTTTGTAATAAAGATTTATATAGTGTATAGGAATGAAATTTTCCCTTACAAAAAAAGATGTATAGTATCCAACTAATTTTTCTTATGCCATTTAGAACCTGGAGTATGAGGCCTAAAGAATGCCAGCTAATATAATAGTAATTGGCCATGGTTTCTGCAGTCAAAACATTTGTAGTAATTTATGGGAATTGAAAACTTAGTTATATTGTAGCCATGACCTTCTTAGCTTGATAAACATAGTTGATACCTTGAAAAGACTTTGATGCCTAATATTGGTGGCAAATATGCGGGTCTAGTCGAATATGGGCAGATCGAAAATGAGTAATGCAAACGGATAAATTATCTGGCCCGACCATATTTAATACGGATAGAAAATGGTTAACCAGTAGATAATATGGATATCCATATTATCCATGAGTTATTGAATTTGATCACTTTTGGGAGAATTCCTAGTCTCCCAAAGTTGAGAAACCTCCAATTTGAGTTTTTACCAATGTAAAAGTTAAACTCATTAGTTAAGTGGATCACATGGTTCTTATTCATATTTGACCCATTTTTAAAAAGTTCATTATCCAATCCACTTCTTAGCGAATAATGTTAGTGGATAAATATCTTTTTTTATCCATTTTGCCATCACTAATGCACTAAACATTTGCTTCGTTTAATTTATTTCTTTTAAATCACCCCGGTTCCAAACTCATATCTCCAAGTCAGAGGCGGAGTTAGGATTTGAAGTTTATGGGTTCTGAATTTGTCGGGGAACAATTATATATATATATATATATATATATATATATATATATATATATATATATAAATACAATGTCTAAGCAAAAGTGACTGGGTTCGGCCGAACAGGCTCGCTCCGCCCCCGATCTGAATGAGTTCTATTTTAGAGATCACAAAATAAAAAGTGACAAGTTTACTTTTTGTTCCTCAGTTATTGATAAATATTGATTTTGATTGATTCTTGTAACATTTGGCTAAGTATATACGTCAAATAAGGAGCAACAATACAAATGTAACATAGCATATTGCTAATTAAATGCTTTAGCACTTAATAATTTGTTAAATGTTTAAAGATTCACAGTTAGAGAGATTAAAAGTACATGATATATTTTAGTTGAAAAGTTGTTATGGCAATTGGCTACTAAGAAAGATATTCTATGAATTAAATGGGGGCCGCATGAGGTTTATATGAAGTCATGTAGAAACATCATCCACCTCAAAATTGTAGTTGGTACGGGAAGAAATTGAGTGATCTAAAGGAGAAGATGCCACACTTGGACTGGTATCCCACTAAGGACTGCTAGAAGAAGTCTGCACTAGATCAAAAGTAGGCATTGGAGAGGCAATTCCGGAAAGAAGTTGCAGCTGCTATGTGTGTAGCCATGATTTACTATACCTGGCAAGTTAGGAATTACAGATTATTTAGGCAATTCAATGTAAATACCGACTACATTGTTGCCCAGGAAAGAACTTAAAGAGAGAATTAGCATGTTTTGATACATAGTCTTTGTAACTAGATTTCATTTTGTTGGTTTTGGCTATTCATTTTTTTTTTTCCTCCTAAGGTCTAGCTGGCACCCTTCGCAGAAGGTGGTCTAGAACTCTAGATGCTCTTAGTTTAGAACTTCTCTGTTTCAATTTATGTGAACTTATTTGACTGAGCACAGAGTTTAAGAAAAAATAGAAGATTGTTTGCAATAAATTTTCAACATAAGAAAAATAAAATGCAATCACAAAAGAATAAAATAATTTTATCAATCAATTGTGAGTACAAATTTGTTTCTCCCTTGATTCTTCTCTCCTGATTATCTCCGTGATTCAAGGGCTGGAGCAGCGTGTTTCGCGAATGTAAGAAAATGCGGACTTTCTTGCAATGGCGGACGCACGTGGTGACAAGCAGGTTAAACTGAACCAGCTTCATCAAAAAAAAAATATTGTGATCTATTTGTGAGTATCCCATGAATTTATGGAATATTCGAGATGATCTTCATTTTTGAGATCCTTTTTAAGGGAATATGTAACACTTTTTTATAGGAGTGACCTAAGGTGAGCGTAGAGTAGCCTCCAAGTTAGGATTTTGGTTAAGTAGCCTCCAAGTAATGCTAATATACTCCTAGAATTTCAAGAGCCGTCTTGTAGTGTCTTGAATTTATGATTTAGCCCAAATTTCGTATGGTTTTGATCCTTTAAAATTTCGATGTCTACAAATGCCCCCTACTTCAAGGTTTGTCAGGATGTAGGCTTGCCGAAACTTGAAGACGAGACTTGAAGTACTCTCGACTATTGCAATAGTTAATTTTGATGAAGGGCAGAACTGGTCCCACTAGGCGTGCCAATTTGTTTGCAACATATTTTTTGCAATACGAAAAATAAACTGCAATCACAATATAAATATGAAGAAACATAATTTTATTGATCAATCTTCATGAGTACAGTTATGTTTGTTTCCTTGATTCTTCCTCCGATTGTTCTCCGTGATTCGAGGGTTGGATCAGTGTATTCTCGAACGTAGGATGATTCAAACCTCTCAGGAGTATTTGGTCTCCATAAAAGACGAGCATTGTGCGGATCTTCTTCTTGAAGTATTTGATTATCAGGAAGAACACATATTGATCACGACATTATTTCATGTTTTGATCTCTTTGTGAATATCGCAAGAATTTATCTAATTTTCTGAGATGACCTCCATTTTTAGATTTTTCTTTTAAGGAAATGTGTAACCCTTTTTACAGCAGTGTCCTAGGGTTAGGGTAGAGTAGCTTCCAAGTTAGAGTTTTGGTAAAGTAGCCTCCAAGCAACCCTATTAGACTCCTAGAATTTCAAGAGTCATCTTTGTAGTGTCTTGAATTTAGGATTTAGCCAAAATTTTGTATGGTTTGATCTGTTAAAATTTCGATGTCTACAAAGACTTTGAACTTGCGGTGTAAAATGAAGGTACATATATTTTGTGTGACTATAAATCATTGCATAAAGGAAAATTATTCGGGTTTATTCTTTTTGGCATGAATTAAAAAAATAAGTTCACATAAATTGAAATATAGGGAGTAGTAAGTTTTTATTTGTTATGATAATATTTACCGTTTATTACAAAAAATATTTAGGCCTCATTTATTTTTTTTAAGATTAAGACGTCTGAATCTGAATACACATCTGAATATCAAATGTGTATTAAGATTAAGACATCTGAATCTATTAAGATGTGTATTAAGATCTGGATACTAAAAATTAAGAATATTTAGTTTTTAACATCTGAATGTATAAAATTTATCTTTATTTGAAAATAATAAACATAAAATCAAATGAAATACTAACTAATTTAATATTCTATCAATAAAATATATAATTTTTAAAATATGATAGTTGTTGGTGGTGATGTCTAACGGGTGAATGCCGACTAGAGGCGATGTTTGGTGATAATTTTGGTTGATGATGATGGTTTATGCTAGTGGCTAGTAGTGATTGGTAGTGGTGGCGATTATGATTGAGGATGGTGGTGGTGGATATTGATATAATGGCGTGTGGTGGTTTGTGATTGAGGAATGTGGTGGTAAGTTATAATAATGAGTGGTGCTGGTTGTGGTTGTTGATGGTGATGAGGTGGTTAGTTGTTGTAGTTGAGGTGGATAAATATTGATTGTGGGTGAGAATGATGGTGGTCAGAGTGGTGGAGATGGTGGATGGTGATGGTCGATAATAGTGGCATATATGGTTGAGGATGATGGTGGCGTGGTGGTGGTGGTGGTGGTGGCGGCGGCATGGTGGTAGTTGATAATGGTAGGCGGTGGCGGCAGTTAATAATGAATATGTGATAGCATCTTAATGAAATTAAGTCTCTGTTATAGATCTTAATCATACAGACCTATTCAGACCCATTAAGTTGTTGTAAAGTTAAAAAAAAACATACTTAATGATTAAGATCTAAATAATCAAGATTCAAACTTTAAAAGCAAACGCACTTAATATCTGAAATCTGAATGATTAAGATTCAGACATCCATTAAGTAAAAACAAACGGGGCCTAAATATGCTTAATCCTAAATTACAATGACAAAATTAGAATCTATCCATATTTGAGGGACTAATAAAAGTGCTACATTCTCAAATAAAAAAGACAGATTTCCAATCGGGGGTGCTATACTGCTTTTCCAGTTTTTTGCCGGTAACGTTGGGTCAAATTTACGCGTCTACTCAGCCAATAACCTGTCACTCTGAAGTCACCTTAACCAATACTAACTCTCCACGTGTAATCACATACGTAGCAAGGATCCCACGCGCCACATATATATTCCGCTCCACAACTAATAGCTCTTTCTATCGAAAACCGGCAGTTAAAAAAAACCGCGAAAAATACACAATCTTCGATTCTCTTCTCATCAACCTCTTTTCACTCTTTCGCCGGCGGCGGCGTATGATCATCGGAAAATACACCTGAGAAGTCCACGTTGCTACTTGGATCTGAGTTTTTTCCGACGACATTTTGAAAATGGAATCGCACGGCGCCGGTCTCCGCCGTGTCCTTGTCCTGGCCTTCTGTGTCGCCGGTATTTGGTCCGCTTATATTTACCAAGGCGTTCTTCAAGAGACTGTGTATAGCATTTCTCATCTCTTTCTCTTTTTTAAGCTTCGTTTAGTTATATGATTTGTTCTATTTTTTAATGTTAGCCAATTCATGATATTTAGTGCAAGTATTTTTTTTAATTATACTATGAAAAAATTGACGTTTAATTCTCAATAATTGATCAAATTGGTAAAACTTGCTTTTGCTAAATGTTAGTACTGTCTCATCTTATGTGACACACTTACATTTTTAATATGTCCCTGAAGGAATGACTCCTAATATATTTAGAAATCATTTAATTTTAAACATCTCATTTACCCTTAGTAATACGATTTGTAGCCACACAAATGTTGATGTCTTATTTCAGACCACAAGTTTCAAAAGTCTTTGTTCTTCTAAACTTCGTGCCTAGTCAAACACAATCACATAAATTTAGTCAAATACAATCACATAAATTGGGACGAAAGGAGTGTCATTCATGAAATTTAACTTTAGTATGGAGAATGTTACAAAATGACTAGAAGTATTAACTTTTGGAGTTATCTTAAAGGTTCTAATTTTAGTACAATGTGCTTGTGATTTGTGCATTTGATGCAAGTTTTTGGTGTTTTCCTTTTAACTTAGTTGTGTAATGAGTTTTTCTTTTTTTGGAACATAGTGTAATGAGTTTGTATTCATACATTTCCTTTTATTTATTTGGTTGATTTTAATATTTTATGCTTGGATTTTAGGTCAACGAAACGGTTTGATCCTAACAACGAGAGGTTTGAACACTTGGCATTCCTAAACCTTGCGCAGAATGTAGTTTGTTTGGTATGGTCATTTATAAGTAAGTATTTAGAGCATGTTCAACGCTTCTCTGTTATAATGTGTACACGGGAACAAGCGCGAGTAGCATAATTGGTTAAGTAATTAAGTACACTTTTTTGTTGCAGTGCTTAAGATTTGGTCTAATGGGAAGAGTGGTGGTGCTCCTTGGTGGAGTTATTGGAGTGCTGGTATTACAAATACTATCGGTCCCGCAATGGGGATTGAAGCGCTAAAGTACATTAGCTATCCTGCACAAGTATGCCCAATTCTTGTTTGTTTTTTTATATCCGGTGTCTGCTCAAAACTTTTTTCCTTGTATGTTTCAACTGAAGGGCTTAATTCCTTGAATTTTCTGGTTTTGAGGCTTCATGTAAAATTTGAACTGTATACTAGCGTTTTAGGATCTCTTGAAGTTTTCTAAAGATTGAGAGAAATGCATGAGCCTTTGTTAATGTTCTAATTTCTAGAAGTGGCTGATGAATTAATGTTAGTTGATGATACCTTGATGGTTGTTTTCTTTTTTTCATTTTTTCTTCAAATGAATTGTAATGAGGTCAATTTCCCTTACAGGTCCTGGCAAAATCATCGAAAATGATTCCTGGTATGTCAGCAAGCAAGCATCTTTGCAACTTACATGAATGTTCTTTCTTTTAAGTATGATTTTGAGTATGTTGTCAATCAGGAGAGAATGTTAGATATGATTTCTCTTTTTGTTGAAAGTGCCATGGAGTTTTTAGAGTTTCGTTGAAGGAAAAAGAAATAATAATATTATTGAATTTCTGATTGAAAGAGCACCGAGGGTGTATATGGGATGATTTAGGCAATTGAAAAGGATTTAGAAGTAGCTAATCGGAAAAATGATTTAGAAGTATGTGCTTTTATCATTTAAAAACTGAATTTGCCAGCCAAACTTTGTCTTAATGAGATCAAAGTTTATTTTAGTGGAATTTTTTGACATTATTTGATTGCTCCTTGCAGTAATGCTGATGGGAACACTAGTTTATGGCATAAGATACACAATTCCGGAATATGTGTGCACTCTACTTGTTGCTTGCGGTGTATCGATGTTTGCTCTCTCAAAGGTAACATTTGAATTAAATATTTTTAAAGTACAATGAATAGCTTTTCTTCTTTCTTCCCCCTTTGCCTCTAACATGCTTGTAACTATTGGAGGAAAAGCAAAGGTCCTTTCTGTGCAGTACCCCTTACTTTTTCTCTTGTACATGGCTTGATTTCAGACTAGCTCGAAAACCATTAGTAAATTGGCGCACCCAAATGCTCCACTTGGGTATGGGCTGTGCTTCCTGAACCTTGCCTTTGATGGTTTCACCAATGCTACTCAGGATTCAATTTCAGCAAGGTAATTTTCACTTACCTGTGATCCTATCTGTCTTTTTGTGCGTGATCTCCCTGAAGTTCTTATGAGGAAATTTTTGTTTGGATTTATGCTCTTTAGCTTTTACTTCTCACATCCTGAATAATCAAAATCAATGTTCTTTCACATCATGAATTTTTTTCCGATGCTGGGTAAAACACTATGTTATGGAATTGACGCTTGGTCAGTAGGATTGTATTTCTCAAGTCGAATCCACTGTCTTAAAATCATCCAGAGTAGAACTGAATTTTTATATCTCTACATACCAAAGAAGCTTACAGAGTCTTCTCAACTATACCATCTATACTACTCTCAAGCTGGAATGAGGAGTAGTTTGGGGAGAAAAGATGTATTAATAAAGGCTAACAAATCCTTATTTTTTATGTCTGTTCTTCCAAATACTTATCTGCAAGAATCTGTGTATTACCTATTTTAATGTCCTAATTTTGTTTTAAAGCATGAATAGGGTAGAGTTAGTTGATTACCTCGAATCAGATACTTTGTCTGGTATCCGACATCAGGTGGTTACTCAGAAAGGACAGATTTCAATGGCTTAACCATAGAAACTTCATTCCTGAACCCAGGGGCGAAGGTACATAGGGGTGGTCAACTGACCACCCTTCGAAAAATTACGCTGTATATATAGGTAAAATATTAGATTTGTATGGTATATAACATATATTGAACACCCTTTATGGGGGATTTTTTTTTTACTTATTTCAAGTTTGAACACCCTAAATAAAATTCCTGGCTTCGCCACTGCTGGCTAAACCACCTCATTCAGGCGCATAGTTGAGTATAGAGGAGGAAATGTTCGGATTTCGAATTGAAATTTGCTAAAGAAGCAGAGGAATTTGAACATAATTATGTTCCATGTTCCAAGGATTTAACAAAATTTCATGCTAATACTATCTTCACTGCGTGCACAACGTCAGAACTTCATCATCAGACCACATACTTGGCTGTTGTTCTCGCATATCTTTTTCTCCTCAAATGTGCTGAGGGATATATATCAAATGTCATTGTTTAACATTACTCTGTTTCTTTCGTTTAAGGAGTTGTCCTCATTTAGAAATCATTCTTGTGTATGAAGAATCCAGTTCTTTGCCTGTATTTAATAGCTACGTTGTCCCATTTTTCTCAGGTATCCTAAGACATCTGCTTGGGATATTATGTTTGGAATGAATTTATGGGGTACCATTTACAATATGATATTCATGTTTGGCTGGCCAACTGCCAGCGGTTATGAGGCAGTTCAGTTCTGTAAGCAGCATCCAGAGGCAGCATGGGACATTCTACTTTACTGCCTATGCGGTGCTGTGGGACAGAACTTCATTTTCCTAACCATTAGCCGATTTGGTTCTCTGACCAACACAACCATAACTACAACACGCAAGTTTGTGAGCATAGTTGTATCTTCTGTTTTAAGTGGCAATCCACTGTCAGAAAAGCAATGGGCAAGTGTTGTCATGGTGTTCTCAGGATTATCTTACCAGATTTACTTGAAGTGGAGGAAGTTGCAGAGGATGTCGAAGAAGAGGAAGCCCATGTAAATGTTATGTCTTTTTATCTGAGGATACAGTTCTGTACTGTTAGCCATTTTTCTCCTGCTGTAGTTCCAGTGTCCTAGGAGTGGTAACACTTTGATCATTGGACAATGTAACTGAAAAGAATTACAGTTGTAGAATGAATTACTTTTTCTGGGATATTGTTAGCTAGCCCATTTTTGTAATTGTTTCATACTAGCAATCAGAGAATAAACATCTCAGAAGCTGGTACAGCATCACTAAAGTTTTATAGAACATCTCAAAGGACTTCTCTTGTTTTTTTCCTATCTGTTTTCAATATTCTATATAAACCTTGGGGAGGTGCCAATTTGTAAGTGCACTGTTTATTCTGCACAATTCTTGGCTTGTGGTATGTCAAAAATTGGACATGGTAGACCCAACATCACTCCTTATTCCAAGTCAAAAAGTAACTCAAAATAATTCTTATTTAAGATTCTTACTTTTTTGGGCCATGGTTTGGGCATCATGACCACATGTAATTACTATTATGTCCATCCACAGTGTGCACCAAAGAACTATTCAAGGTCATTCTAGTCCTTTCCTCTAAATGCTTAAGCCACAAAGAGGAAGGAAAGTGATTGCCAGTAGAATTCACACTTTAATTTGTACAGTCTTCCCTCCCCTTTTACCACTGGCTTTTGCTTTTAGTAATGATCACAGTTGCCCACCACCACCACCAACTGCTGACCAATTTAAATAAGCAACAGATTTCTCAGACCCCTCATTCCCCACAAGATTCCACCTCCATTTACAGATCTCTCTGAAACAGAGACAGCAGCAGCAGAAGGAATGGAAGAAGTCTCTTGTCTAAAGCCAGAGAAATCTTTATGAGTAAGAACCCATATCTCTTTCCTGTTCTGTGCTTATAAGTTATAACAAGTTTTTGTGTAAAGATAACTGTTCATTTGCAGTCAGCACATTACCTGTAACAGTATCACAGTAATTGAGCAATCTTACTATCTCAGACAAGTAGAGCAGGAGAAGAAAATTGTCTGCACACACGAACCATATTGCATTCTCCAATCAAATAAAGTATGTTTTACATTACATGAAGATCAGGCAAAGAGAAAAAAAAGCTCTGAATAGCCTAGAAGCTTATTATATAACATCTACACACAAAATAAATGAAAAGAAACTGACGTAGAAGGCCAATTCAACTTATTGATCCTCCTAGCTCTCTCTATGTTTTCTTCCTTCTTTTTTTTTTTTTGTTTTTCTTTCTCTCTTTTCAATATTCTTATAAACTTTGGCGAGGTGCCAATTTGTAAGTACAATGTTTGTTCTGTACAACTAGCTAATCAATAGCCGAAAACTTATGGAACATCGAATACCCCCATTCGGGTTCCATAACAACACACAAAAGAATGAGAAACAATTAAAAAAAAAAGCACACTAGATACTGTGAGTATTAGGTCGGAAACTCCGAAAAGGATGCAGATCATCTGTCAGATCTCCAGATAAAAAGCTAGAATGCCTCCATTGCATTCTAGGATGCAGACCAGATCTTCCAAGGCCTCTTGAAAAAAACTCAGGTCGTAGTGACTGCAATCCAAACAAAAAGAACTCCAAAAAATTGAGTAGACTACATATAATAAAAACTGTTGATCAAAGTTATGGTGATTCTGTCCGCCACAGAATCTGTGTAAGGTTTGATCAGTAAAGTTGGTTATAGACTGTGAAGGAGGGCTCTTTTGCACGATGGAGGTTGTGTATGATTTGTGCCTGGATACGGGGATGTGGACTCCACTCCAAGTGTTTTCAATAGGAACTGCCTCTCCTGAAAAAACAATTAAAAAAATGTTAATCTTAGTCTTGCCTCACACTTGACTTCACATAAATTAGTTAAGGTCAAAGAGAAAGGCAAATGAAATCATGCATCGTGATTTACATGAAATAGACATGTCAATGTAAAAGGCAACCCAAACTTCAGAACAGTTTCCAGATCACCAAAAATCAAGAAAGAAACCTTAATCCAATCGATGAAAGTAGTAATCTGCAGACTTGCATTCTAAGCATATGATGAAGAAATAAAATTAACTAAAACAACTTACTGTTTGATTGGATTTGTTATCTTACTTTTTAATTCTTTATAGGGATTAAAATTTTAAAAGAGGAATTCTGTAATCAGTTTGCATCTAAGATAAGCACGTCTTTTGAAAATAAGGCAAACGAGTTAGAATAGAATTTGGATGATAATCCTTATGGTTAAGGCAGAGTAGAAAGGGAGATCAAGAATTCAAGATTGTGAAAGAAGGGAAAGTGTAAGAGATAATGATGAGGAAGCAGCTTATATCCCAAAATCAATTCTGCTGCAAGCTCCTTGAACCGAGGGTCTATTGGAAACAACCTCTCTACCTTCACAAAGGTAGGTAAGGCTGCGTACACACTACCCTCCCCAGACCCTACTTCTAGGATGTCATTGGGTATGATGTTGTTGAATTCTGCTGCAAGCTTAAGATCATTCGCCAGCTCTTTTGGAAGTTAGGTTAATGAAGTGAAGGAACAGTAACCTTACAGCGTTTTGGCAAGAAATTCTGTTTACCAGTATATGTAAACTCACATAGATCAACACATAAAAGATGATCACATAGATCAACACATAAAAGATGATCAGTAACCTCCAAAAAACCTGATTTTCTTTCTTTCGACCATTTAGTACATAACAAGCAGAAATTGACACATATCTAAGAAATTGCCTTCTGGCAAAGATTTGGGAGGTCTTACATTAGGTAGAAATACCAGACATCTTCAATTTACTCAAAGATTTTGGGGGTTGCATGTCATACATATATTTTCAGTCCAGCTCTGTTCCTTCTTCCTTTTAGTGCTTTTTATTCTTTTTTGTTCTCTCAATAAACTGGAGCTGACAACAGATGCATAGAATGATAATATATTTATAGCTCTTACTTTCTTTATATTGAATGAAACATGATACACAGCACTCCAGATAACAAGGATTCAGATTTCTGTTTAGGAGACACAAAATGGAAAAGAACAAAAATAAAACAAAAGAAGCATACTTTCTCGAGCTTTTGAGCTAACCAACCGAGGCAAAAGTAAACTATGTTTTCAGTTGAATTGATTTGTCTATAGTCACTATGGGCAATACTTGGTTGGAACATATTCACATTGTGCACCTCAAAAGCCTAGTCGTGTAGCACAGTTCAGTAAGAATCATTGCAGAACTGATAAATCGTAGCAAACACAGTGTCTTTTGTTGCTCCAATCCACCCGTATAATCTCTCCTAATATCACAATTAAGCAAAGGTACCCGTTCTTTTGATGGATTACCCATGCATAAAAGTCCAATTTGATCCATTATCTAAATGCACTGATGGTGAAGCTCTTTAGCAAAACATTTACATTGAACTGGTTTAATAATAACAAGGCATAGATTGCTTACACTTTCCGAAAACTTTGGGGTTGGAATTTCTGCAGCTAAAGATCTGAACAGTGGAGTTACTTGAAGAGGAGAAGTGAAATCTGTATCCAGAAATTCACATTCAGCTGTAGCTGTAGCTGGTCCATCATTAACTTTTTCTTCACCACAAACTGGCAAAGTATCTGAGATAATGCAATCACCACAAGTATCAGCATAAAGCAACTCCTATGGCTGTTAAACTATAAGAAATATTTTTGAAGTTCTTAATTTAGATAATGCAATCACAGCACCGCACCTAGATCACTCATCTGAGAAGTTCGTAATTCAGATTCAATATCCTGATGGTGCGCACACACCTCGGCTTGGCTTTCTTCTGTTTTATCAGCCAGCGCATGGGATAGCAGAGTTGATCCAGTACTATACTCAGAGCTGCCAGCAGAATCTTCAGATAAAGCAGGTTGCCTGCACAACGACATATTTAGACACAACTGCTATGGGATAAGCTGAGCGTCGTTAGAAATGTGAGCTTGCATTGTCAATACCTCCAAGATGGTCGACTGCCTTCATTACTGCTCTTTGAATCTGCTATCAGGTCCTTGTAATCATCAGGTCCAAGATTCATCTCAGGGATCTGGAACTTGAGCATTTCACCTTCCTTTGTTTGATGAAGAAAATCTTGGAGTATCTGAAAAAATATTCAAGCTTTTCCATTAGAGTTTCTGCAGATTAAGTGCAGATTCATTTCTACACCTATGAAACACAAGGGACAGAGCTGGATAAAAAGGGCAGCCCGGTGCACTAAGCTCCCGCTATAAGCGGGGTCCAGGGAAGAGCCGGACCACATGGGTTTATCATACGCAGTGTCACCCTGCATTTTTGCAAGAGGTTGTTTCCACGGCTCGAACCCGTGACCTCCTGGTCACATGGCAACAACTTTACCAGTTACGCCAAGGAGAGCTGGATATTTGCAAAAATTTATCATTAGCAACACAAGCTGTCTTTGTCTTTCTCATGTAGTCGAAGAGCTGAACAATGGTTCTACCATTTTTTCTGTAACGAATGAATCATGAAACTAAAGTGTATTACGCAATTATTTTGAATGGCGTGGACCAGAATAGAGAGAAAAGGAGCTTTAGGGGTGTTATTGTTAATGATGGTTCCTTAAAGTGTATCACCTGGTACATCAATTTGTTCCAAAAGCAGAAGTGTATTAACCGTACAAAGAACATAGGCCTCACCTTCCAAGCATTTTCAAGGCTTTGATCTGTATTCTCTGTATTAACTTTCATAGCCAGTGAGCTTAGCAGCTCCGCTTGTTGCATCAAAGCTTGTACCTTTGGATCATCTTTCTTAAGGAATGTTCCTTGAGTTTTGTTGTCTTAAAAATCCAAAAACAGTGAGTTAGATATGTGTTCAACTTAATAGATCAGACAGTTCACTGTACTAATAAATGGTTGTTTACCAATTTCTTTTATCAGTCAGGGTTAATTACCATTTTCAGTCGTCTGCTGATGAGATGCCAAGTTTTTCCCAGCGTTACGAAAGTTTTGAGCTAATACTGCAAATGGATGTCTTAGTAGTGGATGTGTAGTTCCACAATCACCAAAAGATTTTTCTCCGCTGTCACAATTTTGACGGGCATCTGAGATGTGGCTCATCCTACATCACAACAACATTAGTGTTATATTGAAGACTCTCTTCTTTCTCTCTCCAAACCACGAAATCTTTCTTTATCCATTTTTACCTCAGCTTTTTAAAAGGAGCAGCAGCTTCTGTTATGTTGTCAAAATTGAGACCATCTGGAAATATAACCCTCTTGTTATTTAGGTTAACGAATGAATTGCTGTTTTCTTTAGCCAAAGCTTCATGTTTAGCTCTCTTTTTGCACAGTGTAGTGAATCGATTCTTCACAGCATTATCCGTTCTGCATTTAAAAAACCAAGAATATCAGGTGAATACTTACTTTTCCCAACTAAATGCTGAAAAAAACAACAATAATAATAACAAAATACAATGCTATTTACCTGCCTGAAACCACCTTGGCAATTTCAGTCCATCTATTACCAAAAATCTTTTGAGCCTGCAAATAATATTCTTTTTCTATCAGTTATCTAGATTTTGATCACAAGAAATTTTCTAACCAGCTATGTTGCATGGACTCTCCAAAATAGCTGCGACACCCTGTGACAGATCTTCCAAAAATGCACTATTTTTGGAGGATCGGACACGCACCCATCGATTATTTCGGAGAGTCCGAGCAATATAGCTAACCAGAACTTAAATGGGCTGAAACAGAAAATAGCAGCAATCAAACACAATCCACAGTTAAGCACAAAATGCTAAAATTAAGTGAAAGTGATAGGAGTGGAAGATAAAAAGAAGCAATCAAGAAAAGCATCATTTTTACCTCACATAAAAGCATATCTTCTTCAGGTGACCATCCCCCTTTCTTGAAATCAGAGTTTAAATATGTGAACCATCTGCAGATATTTCAAACAAAATCACCATAAAATACCAACCAAAAAAAAGGGAAAACAGAAACACAGAGCAATAGTAGCTTCTATCAAGAAATCATTTTTAACTAACCTTCTTCTGCATTGCCTTGTTGTTTTATCCTTGAACTTCGATGCTATGATCGTCCAACTACAATAACACACCAGAAAATAAATTTGAATTATCAGAACTAATATCACATACATACTTAAACTTTAAGCACATATTAACAATAAAGTTGAAAGAAACATCAAATAAGGTAAAAACTAATTACTTGTCAGTTCCATGGATTCGAATTTGCTCTCTTAGTATATCATCCTCCTGCAACTCAAAAAAATAAATCCACTACATATCAAAGATCCAATCAATACAACAATCCAATAACTTAAAACACAAAAAAAAAAAAAAAAAAAAGAATAACAGAAAAATCATTTCTTGCAAATATCCCAATACAGTAGTTCCAAATTAACAAAATCAACAACTACGCCTCAGTCCCAAACAAGTTGGGGTCG